GCAGGCTTAGTTTGAGAGACATGGCACACAAGAAAGAAGGGGAAAGGATGGTTTGGGAAGAGCAGTAGGAGCAGCAAACAGGCACCAGTTACACTTTCCCCACCCTGTGCATAAGTTTTCTACATGGCTGCCAGGCCCCTTGTGTGCCCCCACCACTTCTGTATTAAGGATCCCTCGGGGCTCTAGCCTTTCCCTAAAGAGAAGGTGATCCACTCCCTTGATCTTCTCAGTTTCTCTTCATCTTCTTCCTCCTGGACTCCTGCCCCTCTACATGTGATATTTCTATTGCCCTTTTGAATTGTGCCTGTTTTTCTGCCATCCCACTTCTTCATTCATAATTCTGTTTGTTGTTTTTTTGAAACCACTCAAATTATGGGTTTGGAATAAAGGATGCAAACTCAGCAGCTTGTTGGCACAGTGAGCACATCTGCCTGGTTGTCAGCATTGTGCATCATTCTGTTAACACAAAACACAGCTTTCCTAGGTGGAGAAGATACAAGGGAAAGCTTGGTTGCCAAGCGCTCACATTTTGCCTAATGTGGCTAACCCACATTTAGTTAGGGCTTGCTGTCAGCCTCCTCGGTGGCACAAGTCTCAAGAAGGCATTGCACACAGGAGCCACACAGACCTTTTTACCCCGTGGCTCCTTTGGGGTGACTTGAAAAACATTCCTTTTTCATTTGACCTGAGTCTCGACCGCATGTAGTGGCACATCCAGAATTTATGAGTAACAAATCCATGCTGCCAGTTAGTGGTGTTTTTCTGGTCTGATGCTGAAGCTGTGGCGGAGGTGTCAGGGTGGGAGGCAAGGAGTTGCAGAACCACAGACAGTTCCAAGTGAGCAACTTGATGGACAAAGGGTGGGAGCAGAGTGAGCCTTTTTAAGCCTCTGCAACCCACCCACCCCTTTCCCAGGCTCCACCCACCTCTCCCAGGCTCCACCCCCTTATGGATCACTTTAGATTCTTAAAGGGCCAACCCCCTGGCCTGCAGACCAACTCTCTCCCTCTGTTCCACAGCTCCCACCTGGTGTGCTCCTTGTGCCACTTGGCCAGTGAGATGCTGTGGGAGGCATTAGGTTCCTCAGGAGAAGTAAAGGGCCTGACTCTAGCCGTACCAGCCCTCAAGGTATGGGAGCTTCTTCCGGGGGAGAATCTCAGGCTTAGAGGGGAGTCTCCCCATCTTTAGCAGCAGCCTCCAGCTCCTTAAGTGTAGACTTTGCAGCCTCTGACTGACTCTTGCCTGCTGCTGGATTCGGGGGGTTGTACACCTATAGATGTTGCTACCTGTGGGGACTACAACATCGCAGGACTGCCTCAGCTCCCTGCAGGACTTTTGTAACTGTTTATAAAAATGTGTGAACCCCATCTCTGCCCCATCCCTGTTACCGTCTGCTGTGTGCCCCTACTTTACCGACCAACCATGTTTCTGCCTTGTTCAGTTTTCTGTTCTGCCTCATGCAAGTGACCATGTGCCCACCTATACGTACCTCCTTGCCTCTCAGTGTGAGAAGGGTTTTGAGAATGTTTGGAATAACTTTCAGTCTAGGGTGGCAAGCAGGAAGTGGGGCATGCCTCATTTATTTGGGGGGAGGAGTTGGGGGTTCCCCATGTAAAATCCATGAGCTCCGACACCACACACACACACTTACATCCCCGATATTAGTCAAATCATGCCCCCACCTTCCAACAACCATTGTTAAGAGAACCTTCACAAGAGGCAAAAGATTGGGCCTCTTCTAACCCCTACTAATTCAAACCCAAAGGAAAAGGTTTTGTGCTCTTCAACTGTGCAAATGGCATCAACCTTTTGGCAGCAGATTTCCAAGATTTGCCAACCATTCTGAACTCATTGACCCACTTGCAATTCTGAGAGTGCCATAGCCCCTGCCCTGTCTGGCTGCTTCTCCCCCAGGTCTCACTCATGAACACACAAACACCTGACAAACAGAGAAAAGGCACCCACTCACCCCAAAACATTGTTTTCCCAAGGAGTCTGGGTGAAGGTTGGCTCAAGTAGAATTAAAAGAGATCCTCTTGAATTTGCATGAATTTACCCTGCAGCCCCATGTAATTGAATTATAAAGCATACAGTAGCAGACTGAACAGCAAAAACCACAGATCCAGTGCTTGCCAGCAGCACAGGAGCATTAATCTAAAGCAAAGATGCTCAGAGACCTCTATGATTTTTATGCAGGATGGTGACAAAAACACCAGCAAACCACATCTATGAACTCAGGTGAACTCGCTGATCTATAAGGATCAGTGCCTCAGATCCAGCTTTTTGTGGCATAGTGTTGCTGGATCTGTGATCTTTTATGCCTCAGTCAATGGAGATAGATGTGTTCTGTGATTTGATGGTGGTTGTAGGTGAAACAAGTAACAAAAACGTGCCTTTTCAGGAGGATGCTTTGTGAGCATTTGTGTGTGTGTGCATATTCCCTCTGACTCCTGTGGCACCCCACTTTCTCCCTGCCGGCCGCTCCATTTCCCTTACAGATCATTCTCCTTTCAAGCTCTGGCTTGAAAAGCACACCAAGCTGGAAGAGGACATGGGAGGGAATCTCTTCCCCTTTTGCCTTGATAACCCCCCCCCAAGTGTCAACATGAGCCTTGAAAAATGAATAGAACTGAAAGAGTAAGTAGGAAAGTGTGGCTCTTTCAACTTTCTCCTTGAGCTCCAGGTGCTTTTTTTTTGCCAGGGTGGGGTGGAAGTAACTACCCCAACTACCTCATGATGAAGGAAGCAGTGAGCGAAATGGACTGAGAGGGTTTGCAGGTGCCAGAAGCAGCCCTACAGGGTGGCATCATGCCAAGCAGACAACCCCAGAGTTAGGCAGTCAACAGCAGCACAACGTTGAGCTGGAGAAAGCTTCAGCCTAAGGAAGCCGCATGGGCCCATTCTTGCCCCTCCTCCTTTATGTGCAGCTCTTTGAACAGGCTCCAAAGTGACTGGAAGCAACGCTGTGTGACTGGGAACTTGTTCTCATACCCAAATAATGGCAGTGAGAAGTGGGCTGGGGAAGAATAGTTAGCAGAACATGCGAAAGCTCTGTGGAAAGAAGTGCCTGCAAGCCAGTCTTGTTGTTTTCCTGTCCTGAGAAATACTCTGTTTGTGCATGAGGGAGCACCCACTGAGGCAGAAATTGGAGTGCTTTCTGCATGGTGAGTTTGAATTGAGGTGATGTCAGGCACCCGTGGCACATCCTGCCCTCCTCCCTCACTGTTTGCCAGCGGAAAATGCAGGCAGTTGCACATCCAGCAGCCTCGTCGATGCCAGGGAAATTTCATTGGGTGGGCTCTCTTCAGCCTCAGCTTGCATGATAAATGGTTGGAGTGATGGGAGCCAAAAGTCCATTGACATCTGATGGAACACAGTCTCCCCATCCATGCACTCAGTGGAGGAGGATTTGCAGAGGAGAAAAGGGTGTGGGTGTTTCTATTCCCTTCTACACTTACAAGATGCTGCTGTAGAGCTTGGCACTAGCATGGTCAGTGCTAGTGCCCAAGATCCAGGAATTCGGAGTGGTACTCATTCTCAAGTACCAATGGGGGGAATGGCCTACCTTGGAGGGGTGTTATGAGGCTGAAGGTATATTGCTGAGCAGAGCTCTAGGGAACATTTTTAGCAACAAGGCTTCAAGAATGAAGAAATCTAGTCATTTGGACTACATGTGTCTAGCTTCATTGCCTGTCTTACCTCCCTCCATATCCCGCCTTTGTTTTAGTGTGATCTGTTACTGGGAGGGTTCTTTGTGAGGCCTCCATAATAGATCAAGGAAAAGCATAAAAATGTATATATTGCTCTGCTTCCCCTGGAAGTGCTGAACCATCTGAATGGTGGGTAGCATTCCTGGCAACTGTGAAATGCTTAGGGAATAATAGACCTTAAAGGCAGGAGCCTAAAGACTCTCCAGTGGTTCATTTTGAGCCCTAAAATTGCACCCTTGCCCTGCGTTTTCCAAATGCAGATACGTAGTGGTGTTCCTCAAGGAATGAATGAATGTGATGCTCTTTGCCAAGGATGCCTGTCAGAGATGCTGTTTCAAAGAATAATCTATCAGAACAATACAAATGACACGAAAGGGTGGGCTAAGTCACACCCTACGAGGGGAAGTAACTTGCTGTGACTAGCTAAGAGATTACTGATGTCACAGAGGAGACAGGCTAAGATTCTCTGGCAGAACTGACCAGACCCTAAGCATTGCTGACCCTTAGCCCCGTTGGCTGGGAAAGATGGAAGTTGCTAGCCCTCAGTATCTGGAGCTGTGGGGGGGGCGGCTCCCCCAGAGCAAGAGAGAGTTACGCAGCAGGCCAAGTGGCTTGAGCAGCTGGGAGGAGGCTGGAGCAGCCAGGGGAAAAGAGAAAGGCCAAGAGCTGCAGATGTTATGATTAGACCATGGGCCTGCAGGTTACTTCATTTCTGTCTAAATAAACAGTCAGGAACATCTTGTAACCGAGGCTAGCATCACAAGTTCCACTTTTGCTTTAGTGAAGTTGATTGCTCCCTAAATGGCAGTGCGTTCCCCAGCAACCCAGCAGTGGCCACCTGGGGGTCGGATGTGCATTAGAAAAAAAACTCTTGGAACTGCCCTGGAATCCCATTAAGCTCTATCTCTGCTTCTCGCTTCACCAGTAGCTTTCCCCTTCCTTCCCAGCGCCCATGGCATACCCTTGGCACAAAAGAGAATGCCTCCTGCCTCTCTCTCTCTCCCCCTGCCACCCATCTGGATGCTTCTTTGATCTTAACTGCAGGCGGAGCTCCTCCTTGCATGATAACAACAGGGTGGGGAACCTGTATGGCCCTCCAGAGGTGGCTGGGCTCCCCTCAGCCCGGACCACTGGCCACGCTGGGAGTCCTGCTGGAGGGCCACGGACCCTCCCCGACCCTGAGTTGGCCATTTCAGATGGAGTCGTCCGGCGGAAGCTTCCACATTACTTTTCCCGCTCATGGCACTTCCCTTTTTAATTATCTTTCTTTTACTCCCACCACCACCTTAGGAATCGATAAGGAGAACGTGGAGCTCTCCCCGACCACGGCACACTCCAGCAGTGGGAGGACGCGCCACGGCTCCGCCAGCCAGGTGCAGAAGCAGCGCAGCACTGGCAGCTTCAAGCGCCACAGCATCAAAAAGATTGTCTGAAGCCTTCTCCTTTCCCCTTTGTTTTCCCTTCCTTCCATCCTTGGTTTTCTAACGTGGCGTAAGTACTTCCTGCCCCACCTCCACAAGTGGTCGTGCCGCACTTAATTTCAAACCCTCCTGCCCACTCGCCCCGTCAGCCGTGGTGCCAGACGATCAACTCTTAAAACGTGTTGTCTGAATTTATTTTGGATTTTCATTTCTGTTTTTTGCCACCTTTAAAAAACAAAACAGAAGCAGCGGCAGCAGCAGCAGCAGCAGCAACAACAACAACCCTTCTGTTCTTTTTTTTGTTTTTAAGCTGGTAATAGCCAAACTGTGATGAACAGAACCACTTTTAAGAATCTGAAGAAAGCAGGGAAATGACCGTAGGTTGTGTCGAAAGGCAGAAATCATGTCTCTCGCATTTCAGACACGTTTTTGTTACCTTATTTGGGGGGAGCTTGTTTGTTTGTTTATGGCTTGTTTTGTATCTAAAGGGGGGGAGTGTTAATATTCAATCCTGTTTGCACATTAGAGGTTTTGATGGCCAGTGGACACAGTCAGCATCCTGGTTTCCATCCCACATCCCTGTAGCTGTGGACATCCTTTTCCTGAGCTTAAATGGCCTCTGAGCACAAGAACAGTGCAATGAGTTTAACCAAGGGGTGAGAGTTTTTGCCCCGTCAAGGTGTATCTTTAATGATCTAGGCATTTCAGAGTGCAGGGTGTCTCTCTTGATACTCCAGAAAATAGCCTCCTGGGGGCACATGAACCAGACTGGAAGAAACTGGCTGTATTTGTCGAGTTTTCCTTTGGTGAATTTAGACTGGGAAGGGGCACTTCTTTATTGTAGAGTTGGAAGGGACCACAAGCGTAATCCATGCCAACCCCTTGCAATGCAGGAATATTTTGCCCAACGTGGGGCTCGAACCTACGACCCTGAGATTAAGAGTCTCGTACTCTACCGACTGAGCTATCCTAGCTATTTCAATGTTCCGTCCCACTCCACAGCATGGCTAGGGTGAATGTTGTGATTGTGTGGGCCTTTCCTGCTCATTCGCCCTTCCCAGCTGGGGTCCTGTGTGGACTTGATTCATTCCACAGCAGCTCCTGTGTGGAAGCTCCACTGCAGCCATTTGTGCTTGTGTCATCTTGGGCTGTTGCTCCCACAAAGATTGTTACGGCTGCTTCTCATGTGATAACTCTCCCCCACCTTCCTTGCACCACATTGACATAACTCATTGATGTTCCCAGTTAAGGAAAGGTGCCGCTAACAATTCCCAAGCGCCCTAGACTTTTAATTGGCTCATACCCCTTTTTCCAAAATATCCACATTGCTCCTACTCAAAGTTTTACTTACTTTTAAAGGAGCAACTGCTGCTCTCAAACCCAGAGTGGCCCAAATAGCCTTTCCTGATAGTGTAAATGTTTTGGGTTGTATCCAGCTTTAGCTGTACTTAGAGCAGACCTATTGAAATTAATGGGCGAGGCTAACAGATTTTAATTCCGTTGGGTCTGCTCTTGAGTAGAATGTAGTTGGATTCCAGGCATACACTCAAACTTTGCCCTGAGGGTTTATTTTAAAAAAGCTATAATTGGCCAGTAATCCTTGCCAACAGAAGCATGTTTCAGCTTTAGGAACCACAGACTGAAACAGCTTCCAGCCACCATGAAAGGCCTTGTCAAAATGCTATAGCGGTAATAGATGTCTGTTCTGAAAAACACGTGTGGAATAAGGGCTAGGTTGTTGGGCTAGGATGAGAGAGATGGGGATGGCTCCACCTCCCTCTCTCTCTCCCTCCCTCCCTCCCTCCCTCCCTCCCTCTCTCTCATAGCCTAACCATACTTCTTAGGCAGTATTGTGAGACTATATTAATAGGGGGGAAACATTTATGCTGATTGGGCTGGAGAATGGATGGGCCAAAGTCAGGCACTGAACTTTGTGGCTGAGTTGGGGTTTTGAATCTGGGTCTCTCTGGTTCTTGTCTGACACTCAGCCACTAGACTGCTGTGGCTCTGTGTTGAGATTACCAGAGTCCTCAGCAGCAACATGGATGATGAACGTGCTGCTTTGACTGGCTGCCCAAAAGTGTGCGGCTTGCCTAGATTTTGGAAGCACAAATTCTCAACTTCTAAAAAAGCATGTCAGTCAGAATGAAATGAAATGTATGTATTGCTGACATAATCGGTTATTCAGTGGCTTTAAAGGGAATAATATACATACAATTGAAACTGTATAGTGAAATTTTAATGCTGACTTTGGGTAAATCAAATTCCACAGCATTAGACAGAGGGGTGCAAATGAATGGTCCATTAGCAAGCTATTAACATTCATTTAAAATGCCATGGGTTTTATGTGTATAAAACAACTGCTTTTGGTGTATTGATTCAGAGAGGAACTATTTTATTTTGTTCCACTCCTGGAACACAGTCTCAAGGTGCCAACAACAGTCTGCCCAACCAAGAAAAGTTTTTTTGGGTTTTTTTGAGGTAGAGAAAGGAAACGCTCTTGATCATGTTGGAATTTCAGCTGAAATAGATTTGAATCAAATGGGAAGGGTTAAAGTAGGGTCGATGAAACTGTCGCAGGTTAGAATCCTTCAGGTTTCTTCCCAGTTCTGTGGTCAGAGGAAAGACTGCCTATTGTACCAGGTCACACCTGCATTGGGAGCTTTCCTGTTCTCATTGCAGTGTGCTGGAGTGTCAAATCATAAGTCTGGGAGAAAAATAGCACGATGTAGTCCTCAGGAGTCCTGTGCTGTGCTAACATCTCTCACTGGGCCATGTGTAGACGTTGCACCCCCAAGCCAAGGTCAGGAGATGTGCAGCTTGTGGTGCCAGAGGACTGGACAAGGTGGGTGAACCCTTTGGCTTCCCAAAGGGAGCCCTGCGCAGAAGCCCCTTTAATCCTTTCCCCCCTCTGACGTATTCCTTTGTCTCCATCGCATACCTTGAGGGCTCACCCAAAGCTTGAGCCAGTAGGATCTCTCATGGCAGATGTGACAGAAACAGGGAGTGGCGGAGTATAAGCTCTGAATAGGCACAGCTAATCCTCTGCCCAGAGGATCACAGCCCGCCAGCCCATTCACAGCAATGGTCAGAATTCCAAGCACACCCACCAGGTTTCCTTATGATAACGCCCATGTTTTAGGCGTGTGGCAGCTGGGGTTTGCACAGGCAGTCATTGTGAACAGCCGAGAGAACTCTTGAGGGCAGGGGGATACAGGGGAGGAGGAGGAGAAGCATTCACAGCAGTTCAGTAGGTCTTGATGTAGCCTCTAGGCTGCGTCATCAAATCATGGGTTTGGCAAAACAGGCCAGCGAACCCAAAGTGGGGTTGGCAAGGGAAGTAATTTCCTTCTCTCTTTCTCTCTTCTTCCCACCAGCCTGCCAAACATCAGGATCTCCAGACAATCTGACTTTCCTGGTTTCTAAAATTAGGCTGTATTATGTAAGCACTCAGTTTTAGAACTTCCTTCAGCTATATAGCTTTCAAGAGGTACAAATCAAGAGAGTTGGAGTGAGGTCACTCTAGCCCCGCACCCCACCATTTTTAGTCTTAGTTTTGACACTGCTTTTTCTTGCTGCCAACATGCATCTTCCCTGGAGGAGGGAGGCTGGTGGATATTTCCAGATGGGTCTTCGGCACCCTTCTCATGCTCTTTGCAAAGTTAGCCTTTAAAAAGGGGGGGGGGGTTGTTCAAATTCTAGGGAAACTGGTGAATTATGCACTCAAGGAATTGAACTAGAGCCCACATTGTCAGGTGCATAAAGTGTCGTCTTCACAGCACATATATTTACATTATATGTGCCAGTTGATGCATCCAGTGGAGTCAGCTTTAGTCCATGAAAGTTGATGCCGCCTTGTATGTTAAAAGCCCGTAAGAAGCTACATGCGCAATTCGAGGTTATTTGGATGTAGTAATCGGCATGGGTCAGTTGGCCAAAGACCACAGGGACCTAGTGCTGTACACAGTGAATCTGTTGCGTCCTTCAGCCATCCAAACTATGCATATTCTGAAAGAAATTGGACTCTGCACCCTTGAGAGAAACCACTACAGGGCAGCAGAAACTCATCTGGGCAGACTTCCTAGAATCAAAAAGATAGAAAAGCTTACTTTACAAGATGTGCTTTAGCAGAGCTGATTTCTGGACTGAGGTGTCTTAACGGGATAAGGGAGCAGCAATTCATAGGTGCTTCTTTCCAATGCAGAGATGGTGGGTGCATTGATGGCTTTGTCCCCGAACAAAACCCATTTAGTGGCTGATTTGCTCAGTGCCTTAAGTGTTTCTCTCATCCACTTGGTGAAAAATGTCCTCTCCTTAGCCACTGCAGCTGATTTGCCCTTCCACCAACTGCTGCTGTCTTCACCCTTTATTTTTCGGATATCGGCTACACAACCCAGTGAACGATTCCGTGCTGTTGCTTTAAAAGGACACCTTCTCACGGTTAGGTCCTGGGCCATTGGGGGCCATCTCATGTTCTCTGGGCCCAGAAAGCAGCAGAATACACTTCCCTGCTCTGGAGGAGGCTGTGCATCTTGCTGAGCTGCTTGTGGGTTGGTGGCATCCATGTGCCTTTAAAACAAAGTAGATCCATGCATAAATTCCTGCGTTAGCATGTTTAGACAAGAGAGGGACTTCTGGGAGTGTTTTCCTTTGCTTTTTTTTTTTTTTTAATGGAACACAGGAAAGAGGTTCTCAACCAGAGGTGTCCCAGCAGGCTTTGGCAGAGGGCTAGCAATTTGATTGTTGTGTTTAAATTTGAACCTTCTCCTAGAGGATTTCAATATCATGTCGAGAACCAAGTAACTTTGACCTGCAGCGTAAGGTTGCTGCAGGCTGTGCAGCAGGGGCTATTCACCTGTGGCCCCGCAGATGTCGCTGGGCTTAGCGCTCCTACTGTCCCTGACATTGGCCATGCTGGCTGGGGCTGTAGGGGAAGGTGGAGTGCGGTGGCGTCTGCAGGGTCAACCTTTCCCCCACTCTCACACTAAATAAAAGGAAACCAGTTTGACACTCCTCGTTTTCAAGCACGGGCTCCATGTGCACTATTAAGTACTGTAAAGTTGTTTTGCGTTGTTCTCTTTTTTGTATTTTTTTAAATCTTTCCCCCGATTTTGAAGTTTAAGCCTGATGCATTTTCCTTGCGCGTAAAGAAGAATCCCTGTTAAATCCGCCAGTCTGTTACGCTTCCGTTCGCATGCACTTGTTTTCGATAACCAAGAAACATTTCAAAGTCAACGTTTTACGGGACTGAGCGCTGAAGATTGTGGCTGCTGCTCTTTTCCTGATGGGTTTGTGGGGTTTTAGGGCTTCTTCTCCCCCTTCCTCCTGCTTTGATTCTAGTTTTAATTTCCCCCCACGATGTATTAAAGCACGTCTTAATGTTATGCAAGAGACTCTTATCCACAGAAGTCACTTTTTTTGCATTGGCCACACCCTTTTTTTTAATGCAGTATATTCACCCTGTAAATAGTTTTGTGTAAAATTTGACAGAAAAAAAGTATATTTACTACACTGTAAATACATGTGACAATATATTGTATTATTTTGCTTTTTTGTAAAGCAGTTAGTTGCTGTACATGTATAACATAATGACATTTGAATATCTTTTAGTGTTTAGTAACTGTTAACGTGCTTCTTTCCTCCCTGCTGTTGCGTTCTGTCATTGAAAGGAAGTGATGCTGTGTACTATAAACCTAACGCCATGTATTATAGAACTTGCTACTTCCCGTTGGGGCCTCAACCTTGAAGACCGGTTCCCTCTCCTCCTCTGTCTACAATCCTGTTAATATTTGTAAGTGCTTGTGCAAGGCGTTGGGCGTGAGCCCCGCAGACTTGCACACTTATGGGTGGGTAATTGGAGGTATATATATAAATATATAAATATATATTAAAATTAAAATAAACCTGTAGAGATCATGGTTTCAAGCAATTGTTGTTTACCCCCCACTTTCCCTCATGTATGTACTTCCCTTTTTTTGAAGTAAAAAATGTAAATTCAACCTGCTTTTGACTTGTTGGAGTAATTATTTGCTTGTGCGTCTTTAATGATTCTAAACCCATTTTCATCACTTGATTTGGGTCGTGGCTCAGTCCTGAATCTAATCTGTAAAGGCTTCACCTGGGGTATGTGAAATACTAATGGCAAAGCAGCCATTTCCCAAAAGCAATTGATCACATCTCAGAATAAGAGGCTATCTGTATACCAGGATGCCTCAAAGCTGTAGAAAAAGTACAGAATATGGGTTGGGTGTATCATTGAAAGTCTACTCAATATGATCCAGAGTAGATTCCAATGTATAGTTAGCAGAGTAAAAACTTAAACATGTTGTGGGATTCCCAAAAATAGACCAGAGGCAATATTTCATCCAGCAGAGCTTTACTGCTACTGAAGGCAAATGAGCATAATGGTCACAAATCCAACACATTCAGAATTGGCACTGTCCATAAATAACCCAGTTGCAGCAGACTTAACCTTATACTTGCAATAACTTAGAATAAATCTAAAACTTTTGCACTATGCTTACTTTGTACAGAACACCACACAGAGGGAAAAGAGATAAAAAAGAGAAAGTGAAATTCAGGCTCATTCTGGCCCTACTTTTATAGTCAGCATGACCTTGATTGAAAGAGATAAGAGAACCAGTTCAAACCAGCTGTACTTAGCTTCTCTGAAAGTGTAACCCAAACAATCATGGACCTTCTGCTTGTTTCTGACACAGATAAGCTTCCAGAACCCTCCTGAATTAAGTAGAATAGGAAAGATCTCTACACATCAGATCAATACTTTCTGTACTAAGAAATGCAAACTGACAGGATGCACAGTCCAGGTTTCAACGATTCTGAGTTTTTCTTTCTGCTCTTCAAAGTTTCTAACCCTTATGAGCGGCAAAGACAGCTTTGAAAGGTGGATGGGTCAGTGTATGGGATAATCTCAGAAGCCAGAGGAAGTCGGCGGGAATAAGATGTCAAAGGGTTGAGGGCTGCTTCCCCTCCCCTTTGGATTAGCAAAACCAAAATGAATCATTCAAAGCAGTGAATGTTTCAGAGTAAATGATGTACAGTACTCTGGTTGGAGACTTCATGTGCTTTTGCTTACATGGCACAGAACATGGCCAATCGTGTTTTTTTAAATAACCACTCCCAAAAGACACATGCTAATAAGGGCTTCCAAAAGAGGCTTCTATGCGGCCTTGAGCTGAGTGCCTTACACAAATGACTTCTGCTTCACACTTTTATACAGTGGTACCTTGGGTTACATATGCTTCAGGTTACAGACGCTTCAGGTTACATCCGCTAACCCAGAAATAGTACCTCAGGTTAAGAACTTTGCTTCAGGATGAGAACAGAAATCGTGCTCCGGCGGTGTAGCGGCAGCAGGAGGCCCCGTTAGCTAAAGTGGTGCTTCAGGTTAAGAATAGTTTCAGGTTAAGTACGGACCTCCGGAACGAATTAAGTACTTAACCCAAGGTTTCCACTGTAGTACCTTTCATGAAACTGAAATGCTGGTGGTCAAGTGCTCTTAACACTTACGGTAGTTCCTGCCCACTGTTGCCAAGTGTTCTTGATTGGCAATGGATCTCCAAAGCCTCAGATGAAAGCTACCTAGCTTTTTTCTAATGTGGAGGAACCAGGAACTGAGCTTGGGACCTTGTGCATGCACAGTATGAGATTCCAGGTAGCAGAAAAGTTCTCCCATGGTTCCCTCTCTCCTCCCCTCCCAGTTCTGCCATTGGTTTATGAGGGGAAAATTGCATTTGAAAATAATCAGAGGGGTGGATTAAGTTATGGGTGAGGTGCAGGTGGCTACAAGGTGTCCTTTTATTCTACAAATCCGTCTCAGTACAGTGGTACCTCAGGTTACATACGCTTCAGGTTACAGACTCTGCTAACCCAGAAATATTACCTTGGGTTAAGAACTTTGCTTCAGGATAAGAACAGAAATTGTGCAGCTGTGGCGCAGCAGCAGCAGGAGGCCCTATTAACTAAAGTGGTGTTTCAGGTTAAGAACAGTTTCAGGTTAAGAACAGACCTCCAGAACGAATTAAGTTCTTAACCTGAGGTACTACTGTACTGGTAATGCTGCAGCCTTCTTGGGTGCTCAGGCTTCAGTTAAAGTCCAGGAAAAGACATCCCAAGACAACTCATATGAAACTGATGGACAGCAGAGCCAGAGCACAGTCTGGGATGCAGTGCCTCAGAATTCCACCAGGGGGCTGGAACCTCTCTGATTAACTACCAAGACAGCTAACCAGAAGGGGGTGGAGCCAGCACTTTCGGAGGGAATATAAAAGGAGCCGTTTCTGAGAGAATGTTCAGATAGGCTTTAGTTTGAGAGGAGAGGGAGTTGGTTCTGGGTTGAAGCAGCCACTCTGAGGAACATATCCAAAGCTAGAGAAAGGAGTCTCTGAGCTTAGTGTGAAGGACGGTGTGTGGTATTAGGCCAGGAGTTAACTGGGAGGCTGAGGCTGAGCCAGAAGAAGTAGAAGCTAAAAGGATACAGTCTACTTAGGTCTCGTTCCAGTCAGGAGGGGAGAGATTCTTCTAGAAAGAAATGACTCCTACATCAGTTAAGAGGGGTGTGGTGATCCCCTGGGTCTGTTACTTGGAGTACCTCAGGAGTGGGGTTGTCAAAGGGCTGGGTAACTGACAGAAAGTACTACCTTGTTTAAGAACCAAAGCATTAAGCTGCAACACCTGTTCAACAACTGAGTTAAAGAACTGAAGTGAAATAACTGGAAATAAGCTGAGCATTTACCATCTAGTCTAGAAACCTATAACATCTACCTGAAGCGAAGTTACTGAACATAAGCAACTGAAGTTTAAAAGAAGCTGCGCTTGATTAGAAGCCCGTAACATCCATTAGATTCAGTATAAATACTATTAGGTGAACGGTTTCCTGAAATAACATTATATCCTGATGTATCCTTTGTTTTATCCACGTTGTTCTGTTAAACAAATCTTTCTTACTTGTTCCAACTTCTGCATTAGTCTCCCAAGTACCAAAGTTTTCCCTCACACAAAATCCAAAAGGTAACCTGTGGTGGTTATTATGGAGTGTGTATGCAGTTTGGATCTGCTGCAATTGGTATATAAACTGTGGGATCCGCTACAGAAGCTTTTTTCAAATCAGAGGTGCTGCAGAGCTCAGGAAAGTTTACTGGGGGGGAAAGCAACACACACGTCCCTCAGCCACCTTGCAATAAAGTTCAGAACGCCATGCCCTACCAATTCTGAAGTGCCCTGAGGTTGAAGGAAGGAAAATGGAAAATGCCTTTTGTGGAAGAAAGTGTTTGAGAACCTGCTGGGCAGATTTTGGCACAGCTGTAATTCTGAGCAAGGTAGAAATTTGGGAGCCGGACTGTGCAAGTTAAACACATGCAGTCCTGGAGCTCCCTCTGCTGACTTCCAAAGATCATTTCCACCTCACCCAGCAGATGAGGGTGCCATTCCCTCACAGAGAGAAGCATTCACCACCCCACGAAGCCCATCGCCCAGCCCTTCCTGCAACAACAACAACAACAACAATAATAATAATAATAATTAATAATTTATTATTTATAAGCCGCCCATCTGGCTGGGCTTCCCCATCCACTCTGGGCGGCTTCCCAAAAAATATTAAAATACTGTAATACATCAAACATTCAAAGCTTCCCTAGATTTTATAAGCCAGGATGGGCAAGGATCAAGGAGACAGGAAAGTGTCCATAGGTTTCGCAGCTTAAATGTTTAGTTCAATGGTTCAATCTTGATACATATCAGATACAGTGCAGGGTTAGCAAAATAATTACAACCCCAGGGCTGGGGGCAGGGAGAGACAATATACATGCATACAGATTTTGTCTTTTTAACTAGGAGAATAACAAAGCCCACAGTCAAAAACATCCTTAAAATTGCAGACAACTTTGACTCATCACTCCTTTAACAAATTTTGATGCCCTCAGGGATGACCTATTTTTTTTCTGTAGTCTTAAGGTTGCAGTCTTCAATTAAAATTTAAACATGAAATTAATCTAAGTTCCCCAAGTGTAAAGAAAGCACCTGAGAGATAAATCAGGATTTGTATCCCCATAAAAATTGCAGTCCTGAACAATGGTTGCAAACCTCCCCCCCCCTACCCACCCTGGACCACTTGAAAACTGCTGATGGCCATACTGGACCACTTAGCGATTTTTCTGCCTGCTGTAGCTATTGTAATATGCTGTGCTATATGCTGTATTGCAATTCCTTCTTTTATTTTATTATATTACAATCCGAATTCCCTATAATTCAAACTGTGAGACGATAGAATGCAATATAAGAAATCTATCTTGTCCTTACCAACCAGATGCCCCAGTGGGAAATTTGCAAGCAAGACCTGAGAGCAAGCCTTCTACATTTATTTATTTGAACAAATCATATACTGCTTATAATGAATTACCCACTGCCTTGCAGGACATCTTCAGGAGAAGAAAAGGCTAAGGAGTAAACCCTACACGAATCCGGAGCAGAGTCCCTAAGACGGTTGGATGGCACCTTATATACCTCCTTCCAGCAACTCCTGCAGCCAATCTGGTGCCAAATATCTTGCTCAGTGGTTCGAACATCTACTTTGCATGCAGAAGGTCCCAGGTTCCATCCCTGGCAACTCCAAGTAGGGTTGGGCAATGCTTTTATTCTAGAAAAAAAAAGGTGCCTGTGCTCACCATGAAGTTGCTTCAGTAAGTGCCATACCTTTTACCAGTGCTTTTCTTCTTGGGGAAAAAGGTGTCTGTACTGCGTACCCTTGAGTACCCCCAGGGGAGAAAAGCACTGGGGTTGGGAAAGACTCCTGCCTGGAATCCTGGAGAGCCATTGCTCCCAGTCTGTGCAGACAATACTGAACTAGATGGACCAATAGAATGACTCACTGTAAGTCCACTTTTGCAATACCTCAAGGACCGCCTCTCTCCATATGAAGCTATCCAGACTCTGGGATCATCTTCTGAGGCCCTTCTTTGTGTGCCCCCTCCATGATAGATTTGGAGG